TCATATAGAATATGCAAATATATAATATCAAAAGATCTTGATTATATTATGGTAAATATTTTTGAAAACATTCACCTAACTAAGTTCTTTTCCTTCACTTAATCTTTTGTTTTCAAACTATTGTGATATTTCAAATACTACATACCATAGTAAGTAACATCCATTGTATTCGGTTGAGCTCCTTCTTCAACACCATCTTGATCGGCATCCCAACTATTAGGCTGCCATGCAAAAGCTAAAACTTTTTTGACTTGTTCCCAATTTTTTTTCAAAAAATCATCATCACCAGATAGCTATGAATAAAAACAAGAACCATTTTCAATATTTTATTTTTTATATTCTAAATATTCTTTGCATTTACTTGCCAATCGCGATACATTTTCATAATACATCCCATTTGTCCATCCTAAACAATAAACAAGTAGTTTTTTTTCCTAATCTTTGTTCCTTTCTATTTTTCTTACTGCAGCAGTTCCAGTTCGTTCTTGTGGTTTTGTTAATGGAAGTTGTACACGAAAATTCATGGCACCATCATCAAATGTAGCATAGTTGAATTCTACATCACGCATTGTTTTAGCAAGATTACCAAAAAGAAAAGCAATAGCTTGTTCATAATTCCAAACATGTGTACAAGAACCAAGACACGAACCAAATATATCAAAAACTCCTTCCCATGCCATTAAATGTCCATCGGCTATACGAAAAACTGTTTGTGAACGAAGTGTTGCTAAATTAAATAGTGCAGCTTCTTTAAGTACACCAGGATAATCACTTGCCAAAATAAGATTTACAAAATCGAGTGTATTCGATTCTAAATCAGCAAGATGAGGTAAAGTTTGAATACATACATCCCATGCATCTTTATACAATGTTGAATAATAATTGCCAACAATAGTTGGTGACCATGCCATTCGATTAGGAAAATTCCACGTTATAAAAAATGGAAAAAGTTCAACATCACCAGGTTGAATTTTCTTTTTAACAGCTAAACTTGCCATTGGATTATCATCAACTAATTGTCCTTTATCATGAAGTGTACCATCAGCACTAAACTGATAGAAAAAGATTTTTGAAGTGATTCAAATCTTTAATAATTTTATACTTACGTCATCCCAAAAATCGAGTATAGCATGATACCATGCATTTGCGATGGATGATAAACGATATGTAATAATAGTATCTGGTGAATCAACTAATGTTGTTAAAGCAATTGTTCCCCATGCTGGATCACTTGGATCAACATTAGTTGAATTCATATAAATACCTTTTAATTCTCCAGCTAAATCTTCTCGATAAACATTTATATTATTTTTAGCTCCAATGGGTACATAATCACCATCGCCAGCAATAAAATATTTACTACCATCTTGTCCAACAAAATTTCTCATTGATCCACATATACTAACATCTAAAACTTCATTTGTTATATTTGTTACTTCATAATATAAAACAGCTATTGGAATACCACTTGATTCAGAATCAGTTGGTATAAATGGATTAAAACCTTTTATACGAACTTCTATCTAAATAATATCATTTAGTTTTCAAACAAAATTTATTTAAAAAAAATGCATACTGGCATATTACTATCAGATAAATTAACAATACCAAATGGATAAGCAGCATCAAATGATGCTTGTCGAAATCTTGGTAAACCATGATGATTACATGCACGTCCTTCATAATGTAAATGTTCAGTTGGATGAACAGGACCAATAAGTGCTTTCGTTATTTTACTTGATGTTGATGGTTGATTAACAAATACAGAAAAAAATGGTGCATCATTACCAATTGTTACTGTACTATACTTTTTTGCTGGTTTATTTCCTATTTCCCAATCACGCAATTCTCCACGTCCACCTAAACTTACTGTGCCTGTACCAATTCCACCAAGAGGAAGAGCTATATTATATAAATGATCTTGATCATAATGTTTTAATATTGGCCATGGTTGATTAAGATTTTGTGTTAAATAGGAACACATTACTAAGTAAGAAGAATCATATAGCTAAAGTATGTTTATTATTTATTCCGTTGGCGCACACTTCTTTTCTACAGGCATAAGATAAGAGTATCTTAGTTTTTTATTTCTTTAAAGATAACAAACATACAAGCAAACTGTATATTACAAGAAAAAGTATGAAAGTTGATAAATAGAGTATCACAAAATTTTTAAAAATGAAATTATTTAAGATTTGATAAGATCATTCGTTATCTTGTTCATCGTCTAAAAAAAAATTTAGAATAAATACAAGAACATACTTGAAAAAGTTCTTTGTTACCATTTTCTAGGTCACTTGTTGATTTATCAACATTCATAGTTGTCATTGTTGGAACATCATCAGTTAATGATAAATGATCAAGATCCGGCATGAGTAAAAGCTATAAATTATAATTTAAAAAAAAAAAGATATTTATTGTTAATTTGAGATTACTTACTGAAACATTGTTTTCGATTGGTGATGGTGGTATTTCTGATTTTGTTAAAACAGAATCTTCATTTTCACTTGAACTACTACTCTCATTATCTTCATCTTCATCATTATCAATACGTATAATTGATGGTTGAGTATGTGTAGTCGGTTCAATTGTCCTGTAATATATCATACAAGCTGTTAAGCTTTTGTATTTTATTAGAACCTTATTGAATGTTTTTTAAACAGCGGTTACTAGGACTTATTTTATCGGGATTTATTGGGACTTTTTAATAAGGTCCGATGTCCTTTGAGATAAATCCCATTTGATTTCTCAATACATACAATGTGTGGGTGAGGATGTGGGTGATGATGCGCTAAAATATAATCATAATCAATAAATCCCCATTAAATAAATACATTTCGCAGAAAAGATAAGTCCGCAAAAAAAATTAATCTCGGTAACCCCTCGCTGTCGGATGAGGAGATCTAATGTCATACAATTTTATTTTCTACGTTGAGATATCCTCGTCGGAAGAAAAGATCTATGCTGACCTTTTAGCTTTCGCTTATGAATCTTGATCAAGCTCGGATAAGTCCACGCAATCATACTTCAACATACTCTATTTATGCTCAAGTTATAAGACTAAAGGATTACTTTTTAGGTATTTTCTGTGTAGTATTAAGACTTTTTACGACCACTATATGAAAATCTGCATGAATGATTTTGACTCTTTAATAATATCAACACTACTTTATATTCATGGAATTATTGAAAAATTTCGATTTTTGGAAACAAAACTAGACTTTTAAATAAAAATAATCGATATTCAGATCTTGAATTAGAGCAAAAAAATAAATATGAAAGTGTATCGTTTAAGTCTTGACTGAAAAAATTTGTGTCGGACTAGAATCGTAACTATTTCGCAAGTTACTCGTTACAAATTATTTCAGATGACAACGTAATTTGTATGCATGACATAAATTTATTCAAAGAAAATAAATTAAAATATTCAGAAGTGATGATTCTTATGTAAGCTGAAAAGTAAATATTGAAGAACGTACTTATAATAATCAGTTACTACTTGTCGAATACGATCAGTTAATTCAAGTACTTTTTTAAATGCAAGTTTCTTGCATAATTCAACTTGTTCTTTTTTTAGTCCTAATTTTCCACCCATATGGATTCCACATATTTCTTTATGTTGATTCATTGAAATGGAAACGAAACCATCCATAAGACGTTCTTCATCAGAATTTGGATCAATCAATGTATATCGACTGATATATACATTCATAGATAATAAAACAAAATAAAATATATGTAACTAATTAATTTACCCATCAACAAAGAAAGCAAATAAAACATTGATCGGAAAATGAAGAATACGTAATGGATGAGCTCTACGTTCAGTTGACGAATACTATTGAAATAAAATTAAGTTTTATTTTATTTATTTTTTTTTTGTTTTTTTGTTTTTAAATATAGAAAAAGTTAACAAACCACTCGAATTTCGGATCCATGTACAGATACTTCTGGTAAGCTAAAGAAAATTAATAATACAAAAAAATATTATAAAATATCTTCATTAACTGACCGAAAATGATATAATGAACAAAGTGCTGCTATATTAGCACAATCCAATATATTACCACAATTATTTAGTACAATAAGATCGATTTTGATTGACCATACCTTTAAAAACGAAATCCATTAAAACATAAATTAATATGCTAATTATTTTACTAATTCTCCAGAATTAATACATAATGATTCAAGATCAAGACAATTTGAATTACGAATATTTTGTTCAAGAATGCCATTTAGTTCTTGTACAAATTCTTGATGTCTTTTTTTTTAAAGAAAATTTTCAACAAAAAGGTATTATATTCAAAAGAACAACTTTATACTAACTTCCAATTTTCTAAATTAATTAACGGAATTTTCGACATATCAAGATGAATACGAATATGTCCTTCGGATGCACGTGATTCTTTTGGTTTAGTAATACGACATGATGCTTGTGCAATAACACTAAACAACAAGCATTTAACAATGAAAAATAATAAAATTCTCGATAGTTTACCGTGTTTGACCAAGAGTAACTGAAACATAACCAGGATGTGAACGAAATTCAATATTAACTGAACGAGTTTCATCAATCGTTCGACAATCCAAACGCTGAGAGGGAAAGTAAAAAACTTTATTTCGAATGAATTATCTCTTAACTCACTTTATGATCACGAATACATTTTAATACGACATTACGTTCAATAGTTGAACAAATTAATTCTTTCATCTAAAGAAAGAAATTATCTGATTTCCTTTGTTTATTTGATTGTTTTCTATTAATGAGATATTTTTTTTTCGTTCGCAAATAATATATCGTATTTAATATCGTAAGAGAAAAAATGACTGTTAACAGAAAATTGCAAAGGAACTTTTTCTATACAACAAGTTTAAACAAACAAAAAAAAATAACAATTATTGACATAAGCTTTTTTCACAGGGTTTTCAATCTGTTGTTTTTTTTTATCTGATTATTAGAAATGTTTATATGACTTGTTTCTTTTTTACATAGGCTTCTATAAATCTTTGTCGACTTGATGAATAAGTGTTTTTAATTTTTCCCATTGATCAACAGTTAAACTAATGCCTAAATATAATAAAACAAATGATACTAGATATATTAAATAGAAAATATTATCTTACCTTTTTTACCAGGTTTTTGTACACCATTATCATCATAGTATTCACGAATCAGAGATCGGCGAGTCAGCCAAAAAAGTGCCTCGCCACCGCCTCGCCATACTGACGAGTTAACCATCGCTGCCTCGCCTCGCCTCCTAAACCTCGACTCGCCTCGCCTTGTCTACGGTCTATTATAAAAATAGCTTTTTTAGGCAGTTTTTCGACCACCCACAATAATCACTATCTAGTTTAATTCTTTTAATCAAATCAAGTACATTTAAGATATATTAATAAGTACAAAAAACAAAAATACAGTCGAGTCCGCTTATAAGAGCGCAGTTGGGGTTTCTAAAAGAGGTTCTTATATCAGGACCGCTCCTTTATCCGAACTATATGTAAAACAGTGCAAAAATTGTTTCTTGTCAACATTTATTAAGTAGTACATAGGCATACATAAATTTACTTAAAGAAATCCGTGATTTTACTTTGAGTACGATTAATTAAAGCGTTCTTTTCGATCATGTCTTCGATATCATAATATGAATTATACTCTGTAAAATTCTCTTCTAAATCGGCTATTCCTTGTCGATTTAGTTTGGATGGATGAATATCTGATCCCTTTATTGAAGAAACAGCAAGTATATATACATAGGAGAGAGACAATAGACGGACTAGAGAAAAAGTTGAGAAGCTTCGTTCGTCTGTTTAGAAAATGAATAATATACAGAAAAAGACAATGGTTCTTCTTACTCAACAAAGACGTCAGTTAGGACAAGTGAGTAAGACAAAAAAGAGCATACGTGCAACAGATGAATAGAAAAAGAAAAGAACAAGAACATACAATATGGCTCTTTTATGCGGACTCAAATCGCAAAAAAGCGCCAAAACAAAGCTCTTATAAGCGAACCGCTCCTTTATCCGAAGCTCTCATAAGCGGACTTTGCCAGCACGTAAAACACAGGAGAAAAAAACGGGAAATTGGAAAACGGCTCTTAAAAGCGGACCGCTCCTTTATCCGGAGCTCTTATAAGTGGACCCGACTGTACCAATAGAAATTCTTCAAAAAGTGAACAATAGAAACGGGAGATATCGTTAGTGATTTACTATTTAATCACTAACAAGTATGGCCGAGTTAACTCGGCGAGTCGTAAAATCAACTCGCACTCGTCGCGGTGCGGAAAATACTGCCTTGCCTCGCCTCGTGGCGAGGAAACTCGGCAAGTCTGTGATTTCTGTCACGAATATTGGTATATGGTTTACCTTTAAATTGGCTTACCGATATATAACGTAATCTACTAAGCTATAAAAAGATAATAATAGAAAATTCAATTACAAAAAAAGTATTGAGATGATTTACTTCGTAAAGTCGTTCGCCATTAGGTCCAGCTGTTGAAGGTACCCCATCGCCATCTGCTTTATCATTTGGTTTAACTCGTTTAGCTGGGTGGCTATTCCATAAAAAGAAAAGAAAACAAAACATTGACAAAAAATTCGATTAAGTGGATTGATTTTGTTTGTATTGAAACTACTTACATTATCCTTGTTATTTGTATTTTTACTTTTCGACTTGGTCGATGTTGAAGTTCTAGCTTTTTCTTCATCACTAGCCGAATTCTTTTGTTCGTCGGAATCCGAAGTATCAATAAATTCTTTTGATTTCGGTATTGTGTTTACTTATTTAATTAAATAAGTTTAAATCTGAAAAAATGAATTTGAAAAAAACTTTCACATAAAATATAATTCATTGTGAAATATGTTGCTCTATTTTGGGAAAAAAAGCTATCGTTAGTGTTAATAGAGAAAGATATGGATGTGTAAATGAAATGTCACCATTAAGCATTTTATTGATTATATCATATTGAATAATGAGAGGGTAGGAGCTATCTACTAAACACCATAGGTTCAAAGAAATAACAAGATTTAACAGAAATTACTGCAGAGCAGACGACTACTTTGATCTCTAATTACTTTAAGAAACGCTGACTATACTTTTCAGCTTTATAATTGAGCTCGGTTATCCTAATTAATTGACTATACCCATATATTCATGTTAATAAATGAGTAGACCAAACAACATTTGACTGTATACATGTATATAGTGAGAACAAAACAAGTACCAATAACAACATAGAGTTAAATGAAAGCGTAGCATAACTTATATATGTAAATAAATAATGAGAATGAAACTATTATTAAAATTATATTGAGATAATAATCGTTTAGTGATATACGTCTATCAAATAATTCCACGTTTTAATTGGTGTAGAATAAATTCATAGGAAACAAATGTTATACAACTAGCTGGTATAACACGATAAAGTGCTGGTACTACACCTTTAAAAAATCCACTAATACCCTCTTGTTCATATGTTTTCTTAATAACATCTATAACACCATCATAATGTTGATGTTGATCTTGTAAACGTGTACGTACAACTTGTGTTGGATATGTTGATGTAGCAGCAATAAATTTTGATAAAGCAGAAAATATTAAAATAATAAGCGTAGGAAAATATGTTGTTTGAAATGCATGCGTATAAAAACTTTTCATTTGTTCATAAGATGAAAATTGTATTGTACCATGAAGTATACCAACTAAACCAGGTGTAAGACCTTTATAAAATGCTTTTATTCCTTCTGCTTGATAAGTTTTTCGAAATGCATCAAACATGCTATTATATGTAACAGCTGATTTATTTTTTGAATATTGTAAACACATACGTGTTTTTATAACCCATATGGGATTTGTTAATATAATTGTTAATAAACCAGCTGCTGTAGAATAAATTACACGATAATAAAATGTTAAATTTTTCATCTTATCTTGATCATTATTTAAAACAATAATTGTATTATATATAAATAAATAAAGACCCCAAGATATTCCATTACCAACAACATTTGGAGTTACACCTTCATATAAACCTTGCAGACCTTTCTCACGATAGATTGATCGCAATGCATCAAAGAAATTTTTATAATATGGTCTATATGGTAATGGTCGATCATTTTTATTTGATTTCGATTCAGTTACTTGAAATCGTATTTTAATTAGATCAAATGGATGAAGTACAATCGATGAAATAATTCCACCAAAAAGACCAGCTATAAATTGATGATATTGAATAGTTGATAAAACTCGAGAAAATAATGAATCATTCATCTAAAACAAAACAAATCATTTTCGTTGAAATTCTACAACAAATAATCTTTCAATTAGTGTTCGTCGTTTAAGTATTAGATCAATATTTAATCCAACTTGATTAGCTAATTCTTTTAATTTATCAAAATTATTTTCTTCAAGTCCTACCATATAAAATAAACCTTTAGAAGAAAGTAATCGACTTGCTTGTTCAATAGCTTTTTCTATAACTTCAATACCTTGTTTACCACCTGCATAGGTTCTTTCAATAACTTCTTTAACATCAGATGTTTCTGTTGGTACATAAGGTGGATTAAAAAGTATTAAATCAACTTTTGATGATAAACGATCAATTAAAGGATCAGCTAAATTACATTGTATTATATTTAAACAATGTTTCTTATGAACATTATTTTGTTGAAATGTTCTTTTAGTTGAATAGCATGCATATGGATTAATATCAATAGCAAAAAAAAGACATGATGTTAAACAAAAATGTTTAGCAACAAATGTTGTTGCTAAACCTGAACCGGAACCAAATTCGAGTACAATAAAAGGTTTTCGTTCAAGAATTTCATTTAGTTTTAATTCTAAAGCATCAAGAAGAAGAAATGAATCAGCATCTGGTTCATAGATTTGATTATAATCATTTCGAGTAAAATGAGATAGATCAGGAGTTGGAAACATTTATCTACAAAAAAAGAAAACAATTTTCGAATATTTCTCTTTAACGTTAATTCGATACTAACTGCATATGTGTCAAATGGACGGATGGTTGGAATTTATTGTCTGACTTTGATAATTTATTAGCTAATTTAACTAACGAATACTGAGTTAAATTGCTTTTATTTAGTTTTATGTCGTAATTTCTAGTTTTGAAATAAAATTAAATGGAAAATATAGTATTTTATATGAAATAAACTTTAATAATTCTATTTTCTCTAGCTTGAGTCTAGCGCCATCTTTAGTAACATAATGAAAGATTTTGTAATTAGAAATTTTTATGTAACTTATTTTTTTAATTAAGTTAGAATTCTTTGATATACAATTTGTTCAAAACTTGTAAATTCATAAGCAAAAACAATTGTATGAAACTTGTACAAAAAGAATTCATTCTATTTCTTCATTGAACGTAATTGCATCTATCTAGGGCGATCATTTCGATCGTCGGAAACAACGTCTTGCAGCATTAATTTTCACTGTCAGTTCGTTTTAATTCGTCATGCTGTTTTCTTTCTAGCAAACGCTCATTGTTTGTTCTACTATTTTCACTATATTACGAGCTTACGAAAGACAGTTACGTAAACACGCTGTTTTCTTCGGGCTGAGTATTTTCATATGACAGTTTGTTGTCATTCATAAATCAATAAATACTTATATTAGTATTTACATGAAATAAGCTTGTTACTAATTATCACGGTAATCTGTTTTTCGAAATCAGACTACATAGAGAGGTGATTCTTCCAATCTTGGAAGATTTTCGTTTTTCCTATGCGAAAGTGAACGATTGTCTACGTTATTGTGCTCACCAATACCCATAACAAAGCTAGTCAATTGATATGTCGTGGTGAGTAAGTAAATACTCTACAATGATTCAAATTGCTAAGATCTTGAATGTTTAGCGAGTTTTTCCTGCAAGTTCTAGCTTCAAAGCAAAATCATACTTTTGAATTTTACCCATTTAAAGGATCCGATGACACTAGCTAGTAGAATAAACTTCAGAATTTTTCAAAATTGAAGCGCTTTGCTATGATTGTTGTAAACAAAAGTAGGCATCTAAAATAAATTGATATCTCGAAAAGACTTAATTGAAAAATCTGAGATTTTTGCTATAAGCTAGTCTAATCTGTACTTTTATATTGGCAAAATTTCAAGTGGAAAGTCAAAAAAACATCATTCACTTTAAAACTGGTGATTGCAGTCAAAATCCACTAAAAACTCTATATTACAGCACTTCGAACCAATATAGGGTATTCATCAATTGGGATCCTTTTCTTTTCAGTAGTCGTCCGCCTTTCAATTTCGGTAACACAGTACTAGAGTCCGTTGAATCCCAAAAAGTTGTCTGAACTAGAAGACCTTTTCTCTCGTAAAAGTTGTAATTATGGAAAAATCTTTTTCGTGTAATCACATCAATATCTCACTACTATTTGTAAAAACAAGTAAATAAAAGCTTTCGTTATGAGTTTAATTTTAATCATACTCAAAAATATTCATTCGCTATCACTTGTGAAACAAGAGATTAATCAAACAAATAATGCACAAGTATTAACACATTGACAAAAAAATATACTTTTAGATTGCACTATACTCGAAAAATTTCCTTCCGTTTTATTTTCTAATCGTATTTATTTATTTTCATTATTTATTTGAAAAGAAAACATATAACACCTTTTTTTTTTTCATCAACAACAACAATAATCATTTTGATCACACGTTTGTTAAGTATATACTCAAATCAATGATTCACTTTACTTGTCTTTTTTCTTAATCTTATTCACAAGAAAAACCTATTAAGAAACACCTATTGTAAAAGCAATCACTGTTTACTTGCACAGTTGGTGACCACACTCTCCCTTTCTCTCTCTCTGTCTCTCTCTATATACATATCATTGAGTCACACCATCTCATTCAAACTATATACTTATGGTTTCTTAATCAAACTTTTTTTTTCTTTTTCTATGCACATAAAGCCAAGGCTTCCTTTGAACACATATTTCAATCACATAATGCCGCATGCATTTATTTGTCCAAGCAAATTGAGATTCTCTCATCGATCGTTGCTTCTCTCCATGGCATCATCAAGTTATTATACGAATTCAATATTGATGAATCTATCGAACAAATAAAAATCTCTTTTGTTTTTCTTTTCATTCAAAAGGTGATGATAGTGAAAATAACTGGGTAGATGATTAGTATTTCTGTTTAATACAAAGACAAAAAAAAAAATAGAAAAGATAGGAATTGCCAATTGACAGGAAACAAAGACGAGAGAAACGTGCGCGCACATTCAAGTTGACATTTCCGCTCGTGCACATTTATTCAGCTGTCTGAAATTCCGTCGTTACTCAGCATGAGATCGTCACATCACGTTAAGAAATCATCATAGATTTTCTTTTTTTTTTTTTGAGAAAAAAAAACTCAAGATCATCACGACGATAAAGACGAAAGAAAAAGCTGGATAATGGCTAACAAAAGGCAAATAAACAAACGCAACGACTGTTATATAAAAAAAAAAAGAAACGAAAAAAAAAAATTTAATTCCACGAATGATCGCTAAAGGCACTTCCTCCTGTTGTGACCACCTGTGAAGGTAAAGGTGGTGTTGAACTAAAACGTTGTTGTAAATCTTCGGAATCAGCTCCCGAAGAATCTGGTACTGTCGCTGATGAACCACTATTTAATTCATGATGCATAGCATATGATAAATCTACATTATTATTGAAAACACAACAAAAAAAATTATTTCATTTAACTTATTTTACTTTTAATTCCTACCTCCGGTAGGTCCATAATTAAGTCTTTGATGTAATTCTTGTTGCATAATAAAATCATTATAACTTTGTGGTGGTGGTGGTCCTTGATAAATAAAATCATTTCGAAATCCTTCTTAAAAACAAAAGAAAAGAGATTTTGTTTTTCTGTTATTGTCGTAAAAATAAATTATTATATACCTGGTAAATAATTTAAACCAGGATGTGAAACCATTTCATTATCATCAAATGGTCGACCGGATGTCACACGTCGATAATAATGTCGACGTGATCCACCGCATGTAATTGATTGTTTAATACGTCGTTCTTTTGAACGACGATTTTGAAACCATACTTGTATAACACGCATAGCTAAACCTGTTTCACGTGCTAATTCTTCTCGTATATGTCGTGTTGGTTTAGGTGTAGCTGCAAATGCTGATTTTAATTGTTCTAATTGTTTAGTTTTAATTGTTGTTCGTGGACCACGTTTTTTTGGTCCATTTGAATTTCCATTATCTGTATTATCAAGATTGGATTTTTTTTGATGATATGTTGATGATGATGATGAACAATTACTTGAAGAATTATTATTATTATTATTATTATTAGTATTATTTGTATTTGCTAAACATATTTGATCATCATCTTTACAATCTAATGAACAATCCGACATGTGAATATCACCATCATCTTCTTTTAAACAATCAGATGAACTTAAATTTGAATTAGGTGTTGATGTTGATGGTTGAATTTGTTGTAATTTAAATGATGAATTTTCTTTATCATAATCATTTTCATTTTTAATATGATTATCATTGTCATATTCATCTTTACATTTCATTCGTGCAGTAAAATCTTCTTTACATATGAAACGATTATCATTTGTTAAATGTATTTCTTCACCTGTATTTACTTTACGTAAACATAAACAACATTTATAACAATCCCAATGATATAATTGATCCCATGCACTTAAATAATATTCACCTTGACCAATTTCTTGTAAACAACCTGAACAACGACGACACCAAAAACGTCTAAAAATTTTAATTAATTTATTAAAAAATATGAATTCAATATAAATAGATGTTATTTAGTTTTTTTTTTTTTCGTTTTATACCGATAAAAATCTCTATGACAATATAATTTTCCATCACGTGTATAACATTTTTCTGTTAATAATTGACTACAATCAACACAACGTATACAATGACCATGCCAAAGACGATCTAATACTTCATAAATCCATTGATCATGGATTGGTTCATGACAAGCAGCACATACAGAAAACGTCATCTAAATTAATAACTTTTCTCTTTTAAAGACAGTAAAGTACTAATAGAAGATTAAAAACTTTTACTAATCTTCAAATAAACGAGGAAAAGCTTAGTAATAGGTAAAAGATAGCTTAAAGACACAAAATTGATTTTCGTCTAGTTTTCTTTTTCTTAAACGACTCTTAAATTGCTCTATAAAAAGAAAAATGAAGAAGAAAACTTAAATAAGCTACTGTCAATCTGATTAAAATTAGAAGCTATGCAACAAATTTATGACTCATATTCTTCTATTTCAAATAAGAAAAACGGAGCTCTTTTTTTTTTCGACGAGTATCAATAGACATGGTTATTTCATGGTTTGATGATGCATGGAGAAGCAAAACAGAACAGATAGAGTATTGGCTTGACACATTTCATGCTAGGAGGAAAATGAAGAGGAGGAGAAGATAAAGACGTATGATTTGAATGTTACTATAAAATGCGTAAAAAAAAATATCTGTTTGTTTCTTAACTATTCGATATGAGAAGACAAGTCGTTTCAATCATAGATAGAATACATAGAAGATAAATTTCTTTTGATATACTACGATATTGAAGCCAATTATTTGTCCATGGACTGGCTACTTGAATTTGCAATTATACTAACTCTCACGGCTTCTTATTGACAATGAAATATACAATATAAAAAAGAAAAACGAAATTGAGAATCACTAGAGAAAAAATAAACATTCTTTTTTTTTTTTCTCTTCTTGGCAATCTATTTTGAAAATAAATAACGGAGAAAAATTTTCTTTTTCTTTTTTTTTTCTTTAATATTAACCAATATGATTTATGATGTGATAATAAATAAAATAAAGAAGTCACTTTTTCTTTTTTGACATCTATATATACTATAATACTCACCTTAATTCATCAAATGTTGTTTTGATTATGTAGTAAGATGAGGATCTGCAAATAAGATTAGGTAAAGAGAAAGAGAGACAGAGAGAAAACGAGAAGGTGCTGTATGTTACTCTTTGATGAAGAACAAGAAAAAACACTCTTACATGTAAGAAAGAAATAGTCTGTTTCTTTTCTTCTATTGGATGTCATCATTCTTTCTTTGGTAGCTTGTCGACGAACCGGCTCGGAAGACGGAGAAGAAAAAAAATGCAAGTATAGAACGATTAAGTACACACATACACGGCATGATGATATGAAAAAGAAAAAAAAAAATCAACCAACCAACTAATAGAGTAAAATAGTTCTTTTCTTCATCTTTTATGATTAACCATATACACAGAAAAAAAAGAAAAGTATGAGGAATTCCGCTAAATGCTTATAATACATATGAGTTCTTGTTTCTTTCAATGTGTGTAGTTCTTTGTATTTCTTGAATTGTGTTACGGTTGAATTCACAAACTGAATCTTACGATACATCTTCTTCGCTTGACACACTCGTTATTGTATTCTTTTTCGTATATAAGTGTGCATTTTTTTAATTATCATCACTAATCTGTGGGCTGGCCTCAGAAAAAGACAATAATGAATCTGGTTTGTAGTAGAATTGTTTATTGGGAAAAAAAAAGTTTTTCTTTAATTAACAGAATGCCAGACATCATAGACATAAATAAACAGAAGAAAAGATGTGTTGGACTCATCACAATTTGAGTGTTTAATTATTACTTGCCATTGATGTATGTATATGACAGGTACTAGTTGATAAGAAAAGTCAAATCAAATGTCGTATGTTTTTGTCTTTGTTAATGAAAATGGGAGTTACCATATATACGCACATACACATATGTTTCGGACATTTACATTAAGAACAAAACAAAAAAGAAAGAAGATGTATGTTGGTCAGTGAATATTGAATTGTATAAAGACAAAAGAATAATTATGATAGTTCGAACATGCAAAACATATTTTCTTTTGATTTATCTATTATCGACAACAGTCTTCTTTTTTTTTATAGATTTTTGTTTATTATGTTAAAGTGAGAATCATTATTATTCGACACTTATCATCATCAAACAAATGCCTCGAGCCATACATATAAATACATCTATCTATCTATGTTGTTAAGCATTTACTAATTATATTTTAGGCTTTTTCTTTTTGCTTAGATATCCAAAAAAAAAATAAATGATGTAAGTTGGCATCTGCTAAAATATGAACAGATGCATAAGATTGAAGAAATTCGATTCGAATGATTATATTTGTTCTATATATATATTGTACACTTGATCACTATGGCTCGCTTGTGAGATTAGAAGATTTGTGACAAACAATCTGTTGGTCACCACTACGATGATATTGACATAAAAAAAAAAATAACACGTTAGACTTAGTGATTAAATATTGACTAAGTGCAATAGCAACTAGTTCGACAGATTTGATCAAATACAACAAAAAAAAAGAACAACGAAAGAAGAAGAAGCTTCGAAAATAAAATATTTCATCTGTCCAACGGCTGGTATTTACGTATCATACAAAAAAAAAACTGTTGTATTTTTTTTTTGTATATATATGTATATAACATATCAGGTATATGCTGATTTAATCTAATCGATTTATAAATATCAGACAAGAAATCACCTTTGCTCATATTTGAAATTTTTTTTTTGTTTTATTTAATTAAAAAACACAGTAGGTTGACTCTGTCAATCATATATAGACATCAAAGACTTTGGTCGTTTTCTTTTTTAATGCATTGTTATAAAGGACTTTCATTGAATACAGTTGAACGATGATTGAAGATGGTGTTCTTGTTTTTGTTGTTGTTGATGTTGATGTCTCTTTTCTATCTAGCTCATTTATGATTGGGAATAGGAGATGATGGTAGTGGTTGCTTGAAAATATTTGCTTCATTAATTTTTCAATTAGCTGCACGATGGACACGCCATCATCGTTCGTTTGTTCGCGTGTGCGCGCATGTATAGAGAGATAAGGTTTCTATTGGTGTATTCAATGTGTGAGTATGAGCCTAGAGGACATTGTAAGAAAACAAAAAAGAAATAGGTTTCTGCTTGAACACATTTATAAGAAATAGACATGATTGTTTTTTAGAATCTTATTTCTTTACTAATATAGACACGTGCGTATATATTTATATCAGGGTAACCTAATTTGAAGAATAATTTTTGATGAAAATAGAAAGAATGATATTACAAAAATGCTATCCAATTCAAATTAGATTTTTCTATTGAAATGAATCGTCTATTGCATGTCATCGACATCAATCCTGTTGAACATCACTTTCATCAAGAAAAAAAAAATGAAGGAACATAGATATTAATTGATCTATGCATAGAAACATGCAACTATCGAGTACCTTGGAAATTTCTTTCGTTTTTTAAGAATTGTAAAAGAATAAAGAAGATTCTCTTGAGATATGAATAGAAACTCAAAAATAAAAAAAGGAATGTTAACCCATCAGCATTTCAATTCTAATATGAATAGTTAATGAGAAGACACATGTAAGAACAGATGGAATGATGAGAAAAAGAGCAAACTTTAAGCCAATTTATCCTCGTTTCGTTCATTGAACATATGCATTAGTGTGAAGAATCTTCGTCAAGGGAATACAAATATATATATATAGTATCGACATAAACGAGAAGGAATGATAATTGATGAAATGAGTAACTACATAACTTAATATCAGAAACAATGAAACAAATGATTTATGAACATCCATTTGACAAACAAAACTAACTTATATTTCATTACAATCTTTATTAATTAGTTTAAGAAAACCGACGATTCATTAAGATTATTTAAAGAAGTGTTCCAAGCTCACCAAGATTCGAAAGCGGAAAGGTCAACTACTGAGAAGGTAGAGTTCATGACATTGTTGGTGAGTTTAATAAAAAACCGAAAATTTTTCAACATTGGAAGACTCACCACTAACTATGAAGCCAAAATATTTTGCAGACTAATAATAATTTCCGTAATTGAACATGAAGATAGATATTCACGACGTTCATAGAAGAGAAGATTGATCCATTCCTCTCTCAAAGAAAAGTTACACTATCAATGCACAATGTTTATGTTTGAATCGACATTTGTGTCAACTATATGTATGGTGCAAATATAACAGTATCAAATTAATAGTTTTTCAGAAAACATCTATCAAAAATAATGAATAAAAAAGTATTAGTACATATTTCGTATTGAACAAGAGATCTAAAGAAAATAGAGATCAAAATGTTTCTCAACAATCAATAGAAGAAAATTTCTATAATATTAACAGTAACAACGAGTTTGAAATCGATGATAACAACCAAGTTCGAGTTGTATTTTCTCATTGTTGGCTCATCGAAATTCTACCATCATTATTATTATGTTTGTCAAGAATGATAATATTTTATTATATGTTTCAAATCAAGGTAGCTACAAAGGATTTTGCATTATTAAATTGACTGTTAACGAAACCATGGTTTTTACTACCAAATAATATTTTTCTAAAATTTCATTAGTGTGCCATCAATCATGACTAAGCACATTTTAAAATGAAGTAAGAAATGTATTTGCCGATCTTGTGTTTTATTTTCAAGAAAAAGAAGACACCAGTATTTCGTTTGAGTTGTTAATACACCATTAAAATATGCTATTAATTATTTATCGAATCATAATAAATGTGAATATCATAAAGATTCTACTATTCAAGCAATCGAATGCATCAATCATTATTCACATCAAAATTCAGATATTAAATGGCGATATTGATAGCTACTGCCGATCGTTCATTTTCTATCATGAAGTTATTTAAAACTTATTTACGCAATAGAATAGGTGATGAAAAACCTAGTCATTTGGTTGATATCAGTATCCATAAGAACATTGCTAAAAAAAACTCAATATTGAATCTATTATTGATGTATTTGCAAAGCCAAAATGCCGGTGATCTATTATGGATCAAGTCACTTTAGTCTCTGTTTATTTTGTACATATTATTCGTCATCGAAACTAAATGAAAAAAAGTTGATCTTCTCTTACCGCAAACTTCTGTGAACGTGACAAAGATGGATATCAACAAACTTAACTCCTGATGTGTTCTCTATAAAATCTAATATATTCAACTTTTCTTTACCATTTCTTCAATCAAATATTTGTTTCTATATGGTCATCCCTGAAATGACTATTGCAAGATTATTATTTACAAATACACTGCATCATTCAGCGTTATTCTTATTAACATATACTGAACTTTAAAAATGTATTCACTCGTATTTGTGTTTGAAAATTTAGAAGAACTTTTGTCAATGTCAGGTCATGATGATTATGTTCTTTTGAAATACACTTCAAAAAAACACTAGGAATAGTATTCTTAGTTTTTATTTTCTTCTGGATACAATGACCCGCAATAATTATATTGTTATTGCATGTGTTTTTTCGGTACTTTATATATAATATTTTTTGTTTTTTTTTTGGTGTTCGATAAAAACTTTTTATTCCGTCGAAGAAATTCATAATTTTCAAATAAAAAAAATTAATTATACGATCGCGCGATGATTATTTGTTTAGAGAAGGTATATATTGAAATCAACGAATGTATTAATGAAAAATTTGAATAATGGAATTTTTATTTTCTTTCTTCTATTGAAAGTTTCATATTTATATAGGGCTGAAAATTGTGCATAAGGCAGTGAGAAAAAAAACATCGAATACGATGAATTCAATTACTATCGGATGGAAAAAACAATTGCCTGGTCAAGTCGAAATTTCAAGTAAAAAGAAAAATGTTCAGAATAGTATACCACGCCAAGTAAAAAAAAAATCATTTTTCTTTTCCGAAAAAAATATGACTTTATTAATTTGGTTTAGATTTTTCCCAGAAAACAACCACAAGCATTTCAAAATATAGAATCTTTTAATACAGGAACAATTCGATCTAACAAACAACTTCTCGAAGATCCTCCTCATACGTGGGTTCCCACACATAACTTAGCTTTAAGACCAGCCAATGATTCGACGTCTCAGTAAGAAAAAAAATATTTTGTGTTTTTTTATTTCAAAACAAAAATTTTTTAGAATAAAAATATATAATGATAGACGACTTTGTAGTGCACGAGCAGCGGTTCTTACATTTCTTATTGCTGCTATACTGATAATAGGTGCAGGTGCTTCTATTGGTATTGTATTTGCTGTCATAAATTCTAGCAGTTCATCTGGAACTGGAAATAGTAGCCAGAACTCATGTATGCCATTTTTAAGGAGAATGATATTCATAGGAAAAAAATTTTTCTTGTTTCAGATACGACAATAACATCAGGAGCAGGAACTAGTAGTGTCAGCATCGGTAGTCAAACTGGGTCAGGGTGTACAGGTTATACAGAAATCAATGACCCAACACGAAGTATTAGTTATGTCGGATCACTCAATTCTTGTGATAATGGACCAATATTCAATGCAACTAATGGGGGAGCTTGGATCCGATTTGTTGGTACTGGTGGAGATAAAATTCCTATGGTATCAGCTGGTACTAATCATTGTGGTGGTTACTTGTCTGGTTGGTACAATGATACATTACCACTGACGCAAGATGTTGTCATTAGTGGAACAGTATGCTTCGATGCTCCTGGAGGTGAATGCATCTTTTCCGTTAGTATCTCAGTAATCCATTGCTCTGCTGGTTATTATGTTTACTTTTTATCACCTTTATCTATATGTAGTGCACGTTATTGCACAACATGATTTTATCTTGTATATGTACTTTTGAATTTTATTTTTATAATAAATAGTGACAAAGACATTGTATTAGATGATGCTTTCATTTTGGTTGCTCGTTAAAGAAACGCGATTTTCTTATTTTCTTTTCAAAAGAAAATAACTAATATGAATCAGTAGTCGACTTATTATTGATCACGAAAATAAAGGGAGCCTCGATTTATTATCTTTATGTGACATTTATCTTACAACATCTGCTCTTTTGGCACTCAAATTTTTAAATATCATTAAAACTTGCGGTTAATAGATATAACGTTTTGTTTATTCTTCGCACACATATAGTTAATATATCTCAATCATTGATGTCTAAATGAGTATATTTTTTTGGAATCTTGACGAGGAAACGTTTTCAACTAAACAGTCTTTTTTTGGAAGAAATGCATTCGATTATGAATTATCGACGATGCTAATTTCGAAAATACCTATGAGAAATTCCCTAGGTTCTCATATACTAGCTTTTTAGAAAGCCAATTTTTCAAGATTCACTAGTTTTTCGCTAAAATTTTCTTTTGATCTGTGAAGATCATGAAGCATACCGCATCGTCTATAGTTCAACAACCTTTACAACAGATGCATATCAACATTTCAATTTGAAAATTTTCAAGATGGTTTTGTTTTACTTAAAACTCATTTTTTCAAAAATAGAAAAGATAATTGACTTATAGACAACTGGATATGCTCTATAATCTAATGAAGGCATCTATCTAACTGTCGAATACCGTTCGACTTCATTTTAACGCTACGAATACGTCTCCGTGAAACTAAGCAATGATTAGAAAGGTTCTGACTCATGGTCTAACATTTAATTTCTCAAAATGCAGTGATTTACCGTAGGATGACACAGTTATCGAATCTAGTTGACAACTGAGTATCTCGAGAAAGACATGTTCATTTTTGTTGAAACTTTCAGTACTATAATTAATTCATTGGACTTTAGTCAGATTTATTTTGTGCGTCGTACGATTTTCAAATATTCATGACATAGCTTCTTCATATAATATTTAACCAGCTTTTCTTAATCTATCTGTTGCCTTTGATTCATTCTATTTATAAGATGCGAGCATTAGACTTTTACTAATAAATAAACTATCTACGCGAATAAAAATTCTCGAGCAATAAACATACAACTTCATGTTTCATGGAATAAAATCAATAGTAGAACGGTCCATATGAAATACATACACGAAACAATAAAAAGACTGTAATTTTGATATATATATATATATATTTCTTCTCTGAGATTTTTGTGTGTAGGCATTGGATTAAATAAATTTCTTTTGAATATGTAGAGCAACTGACTGATTATCGGAAGATGCAGATGACTTTCTTTTGTTCAGTTGTGAGTATTGAATAAAGAATATTCTGTAGCAATATTCTAATTATTTATATAGATATAATTTCATGGACAATGCAAATAAACATAGAAAGTTCATCTTTTTAATTGTCTCGTTATTACAACTAATTATATTTTCATTTTACAAATAATTTTGATCAAAATGGATAGAAAAAGGTATATTTTTGTGTTTCAGATGCATCAAGAAGTAAAGTGAAATCGCTAAAAGTGCTCTATATTTGCAGATTTATTTATTTAGTTTCGTCAAAATTTCTTACATATGCTGCTCTTCTATTTTTTTACTAGTAGCTATTGTGCTACTAGAAATGCAAGCCGATATATTGAACAGTAGCGGCTGCCACGGCTTATATGAAAACTTGATATCATACTACGAAATTTGATGTTGGATAAAGTTTGTAGAAAAAATTTAATCAATTATACAAATAGACAGAACTAATGAGAAACATAAAATAGGAAGTTTTTCCCTCTTGCTCTCGATGTGCCAATTGTTAAACTTCTCGAAAGCGATCGATATGTTCAACCTGTGATTAAATATTTCAAAAAGGTCATGCTTTTCATAGAAGCAAGATGAATTGGATATTTTTCGACCCATCAACACTACGCATTGTACAAAACTGATATAAACACAGGATAACTTTTTCTGTGCTGTCCTAACCCGTGTTCAGCTGTGGTACTAAAACATTTGTGTAAAGTCTTACGGGAAAAAATCTAAGAGCTCTCTATGCATGCATGCACTTAATTTATTTTTCGATAATCTATATAAATATATAAATTAAAAGGAGCGTAAATAATTTTGAATCGAATTGCATACGATGAAAGAATTCAAAATATTTTTCGCACAATCTAAAGTATTTTCAAATGTTGAGATTAATAGTTATCAAAGATGAAGATCTTTTAAGAAGACTTGTTTTCTTTCAATCTCTATCTTGATGATGCTTTCATTTACCTTTTCATGTTATTTAGACCGTTCGAGTGCAACAGTTACATATAAAAATTCCGACAAGGAATAGCCTAGCTGAACGTTTTTTGTTTATGTGCTTGACATGCACAGCTCTCAAGATATATCCACTTCATGTGACTTTCTTTCCATAGCAAACATGTAATTATTTGCATGAGTGAAGTGTACATTGAGAATGGCTCATATGCTGATTACATGAAAATCATACGACTAAATACGCTTGAAAGAATCAATTGAAATAAAATCATAAAAAATTTTGTGCTCAAAATGGAAGAATGCTTCTTGTCATTGAGGATGTCTGCATCTACTTACTCGTATATAGATCCTTTTTCAGCTGCCTGTTACAGACTAGGTTGTTTAAGCTGTGAATTTTTATTATGAGTCGAAACATTTTGATTGTAACAGTGAAGAAAAAAGACATGATAAGCACGTATAAAATGTAATTAAAATTAGTTTCACGCATCACAAGTATTGTCTTCATAATTCTGAAAGATGATCGAATCCAATGGAATATAACTATCGCTAGGTTATAATGATTCATAAAGTATTTTGTTTGTGATCATCCTTACACGCATTTGAAGAAGAAGTTCAAGTACCTGAACTTACCAAAAAAAACTTCCAGATACAAAAGAATTTTACGAGGATGAAAAAAAAATTCCTACTGAGGTAGTATATCCTGATGTTAACATTCATAGAACATCAAAATACCTAGTAATATTCTGTTCATTGAATTCTTTATTTTATTTTAATCGAAATCATTTTACAAAAGAATATATATCCGTTTTGTTCAACAAAGGAAAAGTAATATGAATTCACTCATTAATCGATGACTGATAAAACTTTATTAGCAGCTTGAATGCCAGTTTCCAATGCAGCGTTCACAGTTGAATAATAATATTCATGTGTTGCTTCACCAGCAAACAGAATTCTTCGAATCTAAAATTAATCCGTTCGATTAACAGTTTTAGTATGATTGAATGATGCTCTTTTTTCTTGTATAACTTTGCATAATCATGAACTAACACATCGATCACAATTGAGAAGAATGTAAAAAATGAGGTCTGATGATTAATTCCAACAAATTTTTTCTTTTGATATTACTCATAATGAAATAAAATTACAAGTCTGTACATATTTCGTTCTAGAGTCCAAAATTACAACAAATCTTATAGTCGCCTTTTAATAAGACAGGAATCAAAGTGCATAAAAATTCTCACAACTACTATCGACTTGTTCTACTGCTTTTTTTTTGGGTTTCTTTCTGTAGAAGGAAAGACAGTGATTCAAACCAAAAAAATACTATAATGTCAATTTGAAAACAATTTTTAGTAGATAAAAGTTCTTCAGACATTTGAAACATGTTCTAATTTTCTATCAAAAATAATTCATAATGACATAAATTAATTTTCAAAGAGCTCTAATTTTTCTTTCTTTGCATAAAATACGATGTCATTTTCAATATACTTTGTAAATTTTAATTAATATAATCATACCCCGTCTGGTGCATACGATGCTCGCAATTGTCTTCGATCATATTTATTTGATTTAATCGATGCGTAAGAATAAGAACCTCGAATATATTTATTATTATGCCATTCACTTCTAAATAGGAATAGAAAACAAAAACGAATATCATCAACAGTCTATCGAAATAAAGAAAAAATCATCGTACTTAAGTACTCTAACTGGTTGATATGTCTCTTGAGCGATATTCATACAATGGCAAAGAACCTCATGACAAATTTGACCAACTAATTGTTCACTAAGATTTTCTATCATAACTGCAGCTGGACCAACTAACCAACCAATTAAAACTGGTATATCAGTTGATGGTAATACATCAAAATGGAATAGCATGTTAACAATTTCTTTAAACACATCTGAATCGACTCGTTCAGCATGTAGTTGTTGTCGTAATCCATCAGACATTTCGAATGACAGATCTTTTTTTGTATGTAATAAAGCAATGTGACTGATATGTCGTTTCCAAAATTTCTTTTTGTATATCAGTAACACCTAATATGAAATTAAAAAAATTATCTTTTAATGGATCTTGATCGAAACATTTTTGAACATTAAAAATTTTCATATTTTCGAATCTAATCTATATACACTAACTTTACCAATCATATGATCTAAGAATTCATTCTATGGGACAAATATTCATTTTTTACATATCACACACAATCTCGCATAGTGCTCTGTGTAGTTGAGTCACATGTTGGGAAAAAGAAACTTGTAGAACATGAGCAATTCTACATAGTGACTAATCGTACACATCATAGGAAAATATTACAATTTCAAGCAGTTGTAAACATCAAATCGTATGTAATCTTACTTTGTTAACTGTACCAAAACCTAAATTAGCAATAGAATTTTGTTTTTGTTGAATTAATTTTGGTTCTTCAGCAAATATCGTATGAAAATTCTTTTTCAAGTGGCCTAATGAAGTCGTCCAAATAATATGATCACACATCATTGTTTTCATACGGTGTTCATTTAGATAATTCATTTCAACTAATAATTTTTGATCATCTTCAATAAATTTTACTCGTGTTACTTCACAATTCAAACGAATACGATTATCATTGGGTATGAAAGATTTTAAATAATTAATAAATGGACGATATCCACCATTTTTTAAATCATTTTCATATTCACCTTCCAGATCTTCATAGGCAAGATATTCTAAATAGTAGACGAATAAAAATAAATATGAATAAAATGAAAAAGGGATAAATAGATTATGTAGGTTACCAATTAGGTTTAAATCAGATAATGAAGAACAACTAGTTTCTGTCATTTCTAATTTCATAAAATAATCAACAATAGGTCGAATTAAATCTTTGGAAATAAATGAAGAAGATGATAGCCGTTTTTGAAATTCTTTTGGTACAATATCAGCAAATGATATAGGTGATGATGATGTTGCTTGATCTTCATATTTTTCTTCAGCTTTATCTCTTGCTCGTTCCCATAAATCAGTGACTTTTTCTAGTACTTCAGGTTTAAAATTTTTTCCTTCAGTTGTAACAACCAATGCCTCTATATGAAATAAAGAAAACACTAATTCTAGAATAGAAGTTCAAAATCGATATATTTTGATCTAATGCACAATATCTCACAGTTTTTAGAAGACATTTTACATTGATAATTTTTCACATATAGAACAATAAAGAGTAGCACATAATCAATATGTCAAAATGTCTTCCTCTCTTTATGACACTTCCCAACATATTAGAGAATTTCCTTCTTTACAAAATGACTATCTACTCAATTGTCTAACTGTGACCATCAAAAGGCAAAAAAAAATCTTTTATAAAAGCTTCACTGAAATTTCAAATATATCATTAAAGTAAAAATATGTGAACAACCATTTTCTGGCAGAATTACATGATTGTCTTTTCTTAATGTGTTTACTCTTGAAGTTAACAATTATACTATTTTGTTCTGAATTCAATTTTACGCTCGGTAGCGCGAGAGAAAATGTGTCGTGCCATAGGTGAAGTATCGCTTTGGAAAACATAATTTTCTAGAATGCATCTCAAAATATCATAGAATGTTGATTCAAAGTCTATTTCTACTGAACAACAGCAGCAGAAATCACGACATCTTCTATCCATTGAGATCAAATTCTTTACTCTTAGCATTGGTTCTAATGAGCAAAGGCTTTAGAAATAGCAATAGGGGCCCATGTTTTAGGTTTGAATTGACAAAAAGAGGCTATTTGTAAAATGAAGACAGTAGTTTTGTAGAGCAAGAAGTTCTCTATTGAGGTCTCTAATGTATTCAGACATGTTATAAAAAGAAGAACGCATTTTGTCCGATTAATTATGCACCATTCTTTAGAAACGAGAAACCTATGGAATAATGTATTATTTTTTTCAATCCAAAGAAATTTTTAATTAAATATAAGTTGGCATAAGAAACTATTCATACTTATTACGCTCGACATCATTTTCTATTTTTACATACCATCATCAGATTCTTCATCATCTGACAAAAGAATATCCAATTCATCACAAATATCATACACAGCATTTTTCTTATCACCATGTACATATTGAGCACCCTAACAATAAATCATAGTTTCAATAAATAAAATAAAAAAAAAACCAAAGTATCAATTTACCAAATCAACTGTAAGATTTGGTGCTGAATAACATAGAAGAAAAAATAAATAAATAAATCAAATTACAAAAAAAAAAATAAACTAAATATTCTTACCTGGATCAACAGTAAGAATACGACCACCAAGATAATTTTGTGCTTCAACCAATACATAATTTACATCGCATCCTAAGGTTTTTGCAGCTGCCAAACCTGCTACACCACCTCCAACAATAATTACTTTAACGTGGTCCATACTTTGTTTTTCCTTTCAATACAGACAGGTAACTAAACCTTGACAAAAACAACAAAATACATGATTCAATATTTATACAGAAATGTTTATTGACATAAACAATCAGTTGTATCTTGTTAAACACGAATCAACTTACTCATACAAGGAGAAGAAACGACTAAAGTTCCCACGTACTGTCGTCGGTAGATTTTGCGTCCAAGATATGCATCGCTTGTGTTGTTGAGAAAAAGGAAAAAAAACTATTGGTGTTTGTTTTTAACCATTTCACAAAAAAAAATCACATTGCTTAATGAAATGCGAGACTAAAGGTAGTTATTACAGAAAGAAAAAGCCTAAAACTTAAAGGAAAACAAAAAAAAAATAACCAACATCACAAAAGCAGAAGTAATTGGTTAATAAGCTTTTTTGCGTCCTTTGATGTTGAAAAAAATATGTTTTACATAGTGCTAGCATTCTATTCTTTTTTCCTTCTGAGTAATTTTATAGACATGAAAAGCTGATATCGACTATTACGACATTTTTTTTTATAACGATTAACGGCTGTTGATGGAGAAAAGCTAACTGCTCTTAAATAATTCATTAAATTATGTAAAACCGTGTTGGCTGTTATGACTTTTTTTTTGCCCTCCGATATTGAGTGATACTAGTACATTGAACTATGTTCAATTAAATTAACAACTAGCTTACGAATTGTTTACAATAAAAATGAACTATGATAGAATTCAAGTTCATTAGCATAATAACAATTTTTTTGTTTTTTTTCTCATATGAAGTAGCAATTACTTTAATAGTCTAATGCGTTAAAAAATGGAAGAAGATCTTCTTTTAACGAGCGAATGAAGAATGACGTTATCTATTAGATAGTAGAATGCAAGAATGGAAAATAAGTAGAAGACTGATGTAAACTAATGAGTTTGGATTTATATGCTTATTTTAATACCTAAGAGAATCATGTCATCTAACTTTTCTTATTACTATTTTGTAATGGAATCTTTTCACTACAGATTTCTATTTGTAGAAAAAATATTGCAAATATGTGGGTATAAATTTCATACGAAATGATTTGTAATAGGGATATATTTTTCGATAGTTTCTATTTACATTCATGACGCATCGACACCTATGGTGCAAGGATAAAAAATAATTAATTTCTAATAACAGTTGCTAATCTTGACTTCTTTCAAAATAAACAACTGACAGGAAATAAAAGAGATGAATGCAATAAACTTTTGTTTGATTTCTCTGTGTTCATTGATGCATTTGTTTATTGATCTATCCCATCTATTATCAAGTTTTTTACATTATGTAAAACATTTCCTTTCTTTTATAGCTAATAGCTATTTTGTTTCCATACTCAAAGTGTATTACAATTTAGAGTATTGTTGTTGTTGGTTGAAAAAAATCATTATAGTTGCCCTTGATTCATTTTCCGTCTAACAGTTAGCAATTAGTTGTCTATGGATTATTTTTTTCGTCGTCAGAGATGAACACCAATTCCAATGTATTAATTCAGTTGATCGGAAACTACGCATGTTTATATTGTTTGCTCAATTTTATTATACATTGTCGATGTGAGATTTATCATGTCTTTCTTAATTCAGGATTGCTTTTTTATCCGTTGAGAAAAAACCCAAGAGAAAAAAACAAGCAAAAATGCAATGAAGCAGAAATTTGATGATTACTATGAATCGAATAATCGTCTGTTGAATTTATAGATAAAGAATTATGTATATAACCAAAAGGAAATATAGAAAAACAAAAAATAATAATCATAGTAATAAATACAGGTTTAAACTCCATTTAAACATTCAATATTTAATTTCAGCAGCTTTCGATTCAAATAAAAGAACAATTTTATAATTTTCTTATTTCTTATTCATTCACGTACATTCAATCTTTTCTTTCCTCAATAACCAAAAAAACCAATCATAACAAATAAGTAGGCAAGTGATATTTAAATAGCTATGAATATTTATTAAATAGTGCTTGAGATCAGATAACTGTACCTCAAAGTATTTTCAATTTTGATGCGTCTTGCTTGAGATAGGTCAGATAGAATAAATAAGTAAATCGCTATTTGTTAAATCGCTACGAATATTTATCCAATAGTGTTGGTAATATTTACTCTAGCTAATGTACTGAATTCAGGATATATTGCTACCAGTATTTCACAGAGACTTTTGTTGAATTTATAAATTCTCTATACTTGAGTATAAAATGCCTCTAAATGTTGAATCCACTAACTTGTTGAAAAATTTTCGTAGAATACTATTGAACCTGGATGTGGATGTATGTGGTTAAGGTGTCGGTTTGCGTTCATTCACAGTTATATATCCACCCTCATATATATCCGAATCGATACAAAAACCGACCATCACACCACACCTGGACCTGAAAGAACTGAATGTGCACATCCAAAACTTGTCAAATCGAGAGGTAAAAGTTTGCCTCGATTCCAAAGAATAACAGAAACAGATTTTTATTTAATCATATTAGATAAGTTGATTAATGAAATGCATAAAATATGCATCATGGAAATAATATCTCATGTTATGAAATATTTACTCAAACAAGAAAATAATGAAATAGTTAAACAGGTCACAAAGACAATAGCAAGAATTGTCTTTTGAATACACGTTCATCACTCATATTAAAACAACAAACGACAACTTTTGTTGAAAGAAAAATTTCGCAGAAAAGTCTTTCGATGAATACACTCCATATTCTTTGTATAGCTAGCACATGGTTTTCTAACACTAGTCTGATATGCTAGAAACATGAATCTATAGTCGTTGAACAAGCAGAGAAAATTCTTTATTGTGATCGTTGAAATATATATTCACGCGAATGTTAAATTGGCAAATTTTATAATCATAACCTAGTGGAGTGAGTGTCACTTCTTTTCAATCACAAGAAGCAAGACGAGGGTGAACGGCTTATGAACCAGATTGTGAGATGAAGATTAGAGTGAAGAAAAGATCTAAGCTCAGATTCTCGTTCTCAAATCAAACAAGATTACATCAATGAAAGAAAGAGAAAAAGCGATTTTGCAGCAAAAATATAAGAGAAAATTTATTCAATCTTTGAATAGTGTCACTGATATTATGTGCCAGAACGAAGAAAAACATGTTCTTACTGACACTCGAACCACATACTTTCTTAAATATAACAAAGGGCAGCTAAATAAATTTTTATTTCAAACATCTAAAAATATATATGCTAGAAATGACTAATTCACATGTGATATTCCGATGTTTATTCCAAACACCATCATCAGACAAGACCACTAACAATAAAACTGAATATTGAATGTATAGATACATTAGATAAGAAAAAAATTCATTGATCATATTGTAAATAATATTTCAAATAAATTTATTTAGCTGCACTTTATTTTATTTAATATTGAAAATTGTTCTGTTCTATTTCACTCTGTATCACATGCTTTCTGTCGTCCAGGTAGATGTTCTAAGCCATTTAGACTAGAAGGAATATTTTGATCTTCGTTCAGCATCAGTATATCATCACTGACGCTAAAAACAACCACTACAATCGCATCCACTACAATCACAGCCACTACAATCACAACTGCCACTATCACAGCTACAGCAATCACAGCTACAACAATCACTGCTACAACAGTCGCAACCATCGCTATCACAGCAGCTATCATGTTCCCTAGAAGAACTGTTGTCTCCAGTACAATCACAGCAGCAGATACAGCACCAGTAGTTAAAAGGATCTGTTGTCGATGAATGCAGATTCTTATTTGATGAACGATGGTGTGTTTGTGGTGGTGAAGGTTGTTCGACAATTCGAGAGGCTCTTATTCCTTGTGCTGCATGACGATTATTGTTGAATTTTTCAATGCTGTTTGGCGTGATCTGTTGTTGTGCACGTGAAACTATTGATGTCTGTTGTAAGTTATCATTCACTGGAGAATAGTATTCAGGTTGCGGATATTGTCTGAGATCAATAACAGTTCCATTAAATTGATTTTTAGTTGACATTAAGTTGTAAGAGTTATCATCTGAAGAGGTCGGTTGAGCAAGTTGATATATTTTAGTAGCCATTATTTTTTAGTTTTACAAGAAATTTTATTAACAGTAAATAATGTTATCTTAAGCGCAATGAAAGAAAATTGATTTCATATAAACTACTTTAGTTGAAATGATAAGACATCGTTTAAATATGGCCATAATATCATACGTAGGTGGAAAGAAGAAAAACTTTCAAATATAACAAATAACTGACGTCAATGTCTTTTTTCTTCTTCTGTTGAATCAATGCAGCATATTGTGATGAGTAATAAATACAACAAGTAACTTCATTTTATTGGCGTTACTTATAAAATTGCAAACGTGAAAATTCGAAGCCATATAAAGATATTCTCTATTGAGACGTAAGATTAATATCGTTCGATTCAACTCTTGTGTTTTTATTGAGTAATTTAATAGTACATGAATAGTTGATTTTCATTATTGTATGATGTAAAAATATCTACGTGCTTGAGTTTAAGAATTCTTTTACTTATGTAAATATATAAACTTAATTTTTGAATTTGAAGTAAACAAGCCTTTCAATTTGATTTAATCGTGTCATTATGATGATTTATCTTCCGATGGCTGTTTCACGATCTTTCTGTTGATTTTATCACGAGTAAAATTATCAAAGTTTTGTTCAAGATTTTAAGCAGAATAAACATGGATAAAATCATGGGGTACGATTTTGACACATCGTCACTAGTTACAGTCAGTGCAAAAAGTATCAGGATACACGCATGTTTTTTCGTATGTCTTGGCTTGCGAAGCAAGAAAAAGAAATAAAATTTTTCTTTTCTCATCAGTAGATAGGCCTTACTTCATACTAGATGTTCTATCAAAACCAGCAATATTGACTTTCACGACGAATCATGGGAGCATTTGTCACGAAAATATCCGATTTTTCACTATGTTTAGAGTAGCACTCTTCTATTTTTTATAAAAAGATGCCCACTTTTT